TATATATATATATTTATATATTTGTATATATATATATATATATATATTTATAAAAATGCTTAATTGTTTCTAAGTTATAATTTAGAAATATTGCAACTTGAAATTTATGTTACACCTTCAACATGTTAAACTTTTAAGAAAAAAAAATTGTTTAAACATTAATATGGATAAATAAAAAATAAAAAATAATATCATGTTTATTTAAATACTTATATGCTATTTACATAGACTCTCTCTTTTTTTATTTGAATTAGTGGACATTTACACAATTTAATAATTTGGAATTTAATAATTTGAGATGTTTGCAAGTATTACAAAATATTACAAAATATTACTGCCATATTACATTGTGAAAAATATAAGTTGAAATTTTATTTTTTAATTTTGTTTGTTTAAATGTTGAAATAATTGTACAATGATGTCCTAAAAAATATCCTTAATTGGATTTATCGTTTAATATTAAACAAATATTCTGAAATTTTATTAATACAAAAACATTGCGTTAAAGCGAATCATCTTACAGTTCAAATCTTGTTATTACGGATTTCACTTAAATTGAAATATGTTGTCGCATTTAGCCCCTAATTGGTAAGTGAAACGACTCCACATCCAAGCATTCGTGAGAAATTTGCATGTAAAGTTTCTCGGACGCCTTAAGGACCGTCTACAAAAACGTCCTTGCGAATTTGCAAGTATAATGCAGCAGCTAAAGCGGCGACCTAACAAATTGCGCGTTCGAGTCGAACTTTATCCAGTTTATTTTATTTTTTAATATTAATTTTTACGAAAAGTTAATTTCAATTAACGATTAAGTACCGCGTAAATAATCTAAATATATCAAAAATTGTGATTGAATTATTAATGTATGTAATATTGTTTATATTTCATCATCTGTAACCATACCAACTATATTGATTAACAATTACAGTATTATTATAACAACAACGAGAAATCAGTATGTGAGAGAACGCGATAAAAATACCTTTTTTGGTGTTGCATTAATTGAGCGCTTCAACATTAGTTGATTCAATATACTTGGCTCGTTTCAAAATTAATTGTCGAGAGACTTATCTTTTCTAATATGTGACATCTGCTTCATCACAAATTGTTTGAAAACACCTTATGCATGTAACAATTTAGCTTTAGCTTTATTACATACAGTATGCTTGATATAAATATAATCTGTGCTTTAAATATTTCTACAATTTATTAAATCTCTAATTATCATCCTAAAGCAGTATTTCCGGAAAATCAATCCGAGAAACAGTCCGATTAGTAATTAAAACAAAGTACAAGTAAAATATGAAAATATACTTTTTATTTTTGTAATTGCTAATCAATATTATTAGTATAATTATCAGGCATTGAAATATGCGAGTAAGAAATATTACACATATTAATTATATGCATTAATAATTAAATTATAATTTTTTGGCATATTTAGGTTAATTACGCGTTGCTTAATCGTCAATTGAAAGTAACATTTTAATAAAAATTAATGTTAAAATAAAAAAGCTGGATAAAGCTTGATTCGAACGCGCAACCTATGGCGTAGCCCGTCGCATTAGCTGCTACGTTGCATTTGCTATCTAACACTTCGTAAACGTACCTTACAGCGTACGTGAGACTTTACATGCAAATTTCTCACGAATTTTTGAGCGTTGTTTCACTTGTTCATAAATTAGTAGAATAATTAGTCTTGGTACTAAAACATATTCCAATTTGAGCAAAATCCACAATGACAAAATTTAATCCTTCCCTTGTTAAAGCAATCTTTGCAAAATTCTTTATCAAATGATGACATTGTTCATGATGACATTGTTGTGCAATATTTCTATAATTTGCCTATTAAAGATATTGTGCTTACACCATAAAGTAGGAAATTGTAAAATTGATATAATGTTATTGTTAATTAGTGGTTTCCAACAATCATATAAGAAGTGTAAGTGATTTTACAATAATTCTCAGATAGCAGATAACGTTCCAGAATCATTCCGAATGTGTCCAGGATGTCCTAGGGAATAGCCTGAGACGTTTTAAGCATATCCAAGATAATTCTAGTGTGTTTTGTGTTATCTGAGTTCCTTACATGAGGTTACGACATTGTAATATTCGCAAATAAGCGACACGAGCATTACCAACTGAACAAATATCTATCAATTATCCTCAATTTATCTAGTATTTTACAAAATTCTATCAATTTGTATCGTTCGTTTCCCCAAATTTTAGTTCAAACGACATCGTCGTTTAAACCCAGGAAAGCGTTGATATTCAAATCTCTTCGAAAAACTAATCCTGTCGTTGGCGACTCGACCTCGAGGAGATTCTTCACATTCAGTACTTTAAGTCGACGGGCTAATACTCGCGCTAATAATGCGAATGCGAATCCTCGCGCGCTTCACGCTTACACGCGTTAAATAGTACAACCGAGGCGACGAGTGATCGCGACGAGCATCGGGCATTCGCGATGAGGACGTCAGCGTGGTAGCTAGTTACATGTAAGAAGGAGATAGAGTCCTTCATCTAGATAGAACAGAAGATCACGATGACGTCGAAATGATGAGACAATGACTGCGATAACTCATTTTTCCATTATCTAATTCAATCACTTTCCGATGTCATTATGTTGTTATCGTGATTTTTTGTTCTACCTAGTTCCACAAGTCGTACGATCACAGAAGTTGGTTGCTGGTATGTCGAACTGATAAGCTTTTGAGCTTTAAGTATTGAGCAAAGACGCACCGTCGTCCCGATGCGCGCGAACGATCGTGTCCTTCCTGGTCCTGCGACCACATCCAATATCTAAATAGTCAAACCGGACAAATGGATCAAGTAAAATGAGAAATATTTATAAAGAAGAAAGATTGTGTTCACATCATAATAAACGAGCCGAATGTGTTTTGGTTGACAGAAATGAAATTTCTAGTTTTTATGAATCAAGTTTGACTCATAAGAGTCAGAAATTCTTTTTTTTTTCAATAAAAAATGCGTTTGGTTCGTTCATTGGCTACGTTTGACAGAAAAAAACAGCTTATTAAAAGCTTTGTGATTTAGTTCGAACGACATCATCGTTTAAATCCAGAAAAGCGTTAATATTCGGATCTCTTCGAGAAACTAATCTTGTCGTTGGCGACTCGACCACGAGGAGATTCTTCACATTCGGTACGTTCATTGTCTACATTTGACAGAAAAGAACAGCTTATTAAAAGCTTTGTGATTATTGGCTCTGATTGGTTTACTCTACTGAATCTATGAAAAATGTGAAAAAATACTCCAAACAAACAATAATAGCTATAAATCGCTATAAAACAATAATCGTCCATACTATAACGGATTGGTGAATGTTGAAAACTTTTATATAAGAAGCAGTGATATAAATAAAGAAGTATATATAATTATTCAAAATTTGAACGATTAAATACTTAATAATGATATTATCGTGTTATTTAGAAAAATATATTTTTTTAACATTAATTATTTAATTGTCAAAATATTGATATTATGCTATTGTATTCGGATATTTTATGTGTAGCGGCCTTTAGTGTGCATTATTCCAATACTGTGTAATACGAACTAGTTATAAGCTGTTCTTTCTGCTGAATGCAAGCATTGTCATGTTAATATAACTAATCTTTTTTCTCTTTTGGGAAAGAAAGTCAATGGGAGCCGGTAGCTGAATATTAATGAATAATAATGGATCATTCTTACATCACTGCGTCTAGCGGACTTCCTCGATTACCACACATACATCACATCGTGAAGATTATAGAAGTTTGACTCTCCAATTGTCAGAATAGATGCAATTTAAAATCGTGAATCGCGCGAATTGTCAATTTAACTTTGGCTTCGTAATTTCTTTTAAGTGCGCCCTCGAAATCGGGACTTTTCGAAGAATCCAAACGACAGTGATGGATTTATATAGAAACCAGTGATGCTAGAGCCTACTATATCACCTATTTCATCACTTTCCCCTCCCCCTTTTCATTTATATCTAAACAATTAAAGGATCCCTGAAATAATATTAGTAATAGGCCACGAAAAGCCACCATCCGTCATTGGCAAACGCTATCAACAACAATGTGTTTAATTAAATTTCAATATGACAATTATGTGCCCAGCGTCGGTTTAGGTTTTGACGAAAAAATCGAACGTCTTACTCGACAATCATGTATGAGCGTATTCTTTTCCTGTATAATTTTCAGACGGGAAACATATAATTCCGCCCCGCAATGGTGCTTGTGTAATCGGCAAGTTTCTCAATGAATTTCATCCATTCGCAAATTTCGTACGATTGAAGTTATCCGGTTCCTCGATAAGCGCAAGACGAAATTTTTACGCGAGTCTATACTACGAACGGTCGAAATGCAAACGAAAATCTCCCAGCAGATTGCCCAACATCGACCTGCCACATTGTGATTTACCGTTATCGTGCCTATATAATTTCTTCTATTATATAACTTCGAAATCGCAGATATCGGCAGTCTCTAGAAAAATTTCGCCATTTTTTATTATAGGTACCTACATACGCTCGTAAAATCTCGACAATTTATTTTTAAATAACACGTAGAAGAACCACGTCGCGCGAACATCGTGAAAAAGATAAAAAGAAAAATAGAAACCGAAAAGAACAGAGACAGAGACGAAGAGAGAGAGAGAGAGAGAGAGAGAGAGAGAGAGAGAGAGAGAGAGAGGAAAAAGGGAGTCACAGATACAACCATTCAAGAATCTCCAATATAACGAAAGTAGCGCACGTACAAGAAACGTCACTTCGATGATGCATTAGTCATTGAACACGGTTTCATTTGGGATTCCATGGAAGATCGACCAATAAATTCCTAAATTGCCGTTCTTCCCCTCTCTCACTATTTTTCACAACTTATAATCGATATTGAGTTCGATCGCAATCAATAGTCTCGTGTCATTGAAGAAAAAGATAGACATAAATAAATTAAAAATCGGCCAAGAAAAAAATCGTGAAGGCATGTAACGATCCGTTCGTTTCCGCGAAGTAATGCAAGTTATTTTGAATTTGGCCTGCGAAAATCATATTTAACACCTTATCTAAATTCATACTTAAATATTAATTGAATATGTTCCTACAGAAACTCATCCCTCACGTGCGGCATCTCGTTTTTTCGACACTGTCGCACTCGTTGCTGCGAAAGACAGGTGTTCGCAAAAGTCACCTGGCAGTCGCAAAAGCGTTCATATCTTATGACTCAATCTGCGCGATTTTCACGACAAACGGCTCGTCTCACGATCAAGAGCGTCAGTCGTCGCAGGAGCACCAGGATATGATCTACTCCTTTTGCGTCGTCACCCGATTACGATCGTGCGACTGCTCCGGGATCCAGCTAAAACTAGCTAGAACTAACCAGGAGGAAGCAATTGTCATGAAACATTGATGTGTACTGCATGTCAGATGCAAGCGACGTAATTTTGTACTTTTTTCCTCGAAGGATGCGTCGATCTCGATGGAGTTTCGACTCTTCGTGACGATATGTATAAGAAGGCAATAGATAAGAAGAAAGGAACAAAAGGAGAGGATGGTTAGGAGAAAAGAGGGAGAGGAAAACAGAGACGGAGAAAAGAAGACCCGCTGATCCATCGGCGATCCCGTAGAAAAAATACGACATCGTGGCGAGTGGATCGACTAGGTTAAGCGCTACTAGGTTATTCGGTCATTGTATACGGTTTTCGGAGGTTGAGCTCTGTCGCCGCTAGGCTTTCGCCTTTCACGTAATAGTCGGCGGCGTCCCTCCTACTTGAGCCATTTGCGACGACGCCGTTTGTAAGGACGCCATTCGTCGCGACGCCGTTCGCGACACCGTTAAGGGTGTTGTTAACGATGCCATTCGCGTAGCCGTCGGCGGCGGACTGATGGTTCTTGCTGACGCCATTCGCTATCACGCCGTTCTTCCTGGGCTTCTTCTGCTGGTAGCTCTGTTGGTAAAACTCCTTGAATAAGAAGAGGAACATGACGGCGTGCATGCCAATCCACCAGACGAACGCTTTCGGGTAGTTACATTCGATGAAAAGCAGCTGGAAGGCGTGCACCATGATTGCGATAAACTGCAGCATTTGGAAGGCGGTCAGATATTTCTTCCACCAGAGGTAAGGTTGCACCCATGGACCCAGCGCCGCCAGAAGGTAATACGTATACATGACGATGTGGACAAAGGTATTGAGCAAGCCGAAGAAGGTCGAATGACCGCCTGAAAAGAACAGGTATATTTTATAATTGGGCTCAATCGTTGATCGCTAATATCTCTCGACGTTAAAATATGATAGAAAGAAAGAAGCTCAATTCTCCGTAATTGTGTGAATAGGGATGAAAACTCAGTAACGCAAGGTGGAAAGTGATAAGAAACGATATTTCAGTTACAACGACTGAGAATATTCACAGCCGCATTAAAATTCTGTTAAAACTTCTGAGAGCAATTGATCGAGCAGAGAACTCCCATACTGCAAATTCAAGTACGTAATTTTTACATGCTTACATTTTTACGTATGTATGATATCGTTTAATCACTGCGCATTTTTACGCGCGTTATTTTGCTATATTTTTTAATTATGTTACTGTACGCAGTTAAATGCATACATTTAACACACACATTAAATTATTATATTTAACACGTGTGATTTACGCGGAAGGATTTTATATTTCCTTACCCTCTTCATCTTTTCTAACAAAAAATATATATTATTAATTAACAATATAAACGTATTGAATTTTCTAGATAAAACGTATCTTTTTCGAGTGCATACTTTTGTAATAAACTTATTGTTTTGTAAATTTACATTATTTGAATAAATATTATCTGGAAGAATTGGTGCTTCCCTTCTTTAACTACTAAGAACATTAGAAAATCGATATTATTGATTAGGGGGAAAATCTCAAACCTTTACCGAAGAATGCGAAGAATTTTCTTTCCAACCTAACACATATTTTTATATAATTGCATGTAAGACTCACGTGTAAAAGGATCTGAATGTGTAAGATTCTTTTATTGTCTCATATTTGTTATAAATTTACATTAATTAGAAATATACTATCCTTCATTTTGTATATATTTTTTATATATTTTGTATTATGTATTGTATTGCACAAGGTGAAATATGTTCAATTACAACTATAAATGTATAAATTGATTTCTTTATGTGGTAAAATGTGTAATTTTCATAGAAGAAAATCAAATCACATACGTAAAAGTATAATTTTATACACATAAGAATGTGTACTTACTATATACTTGGATTTGCAGTATATAAGAATTTTTCTATTCCTACAACCGAGTTTTCGTTTCCCCAGGCAACGGAAAATTTAGTTACTGGAATTGTTTTCACTAAAAATGTAAAAATTAAAACGAGTAGAAAAACACATCGCTTTCTAAGAAAACATTTTGCTCGTAGATATGAAACAAATCATGCACAAAGATACAAATCCAAGTATATAGTAAGTTTTATGCACAAGTAAAACTTTATTCTAATTCGTCGTCATAGAAATATCAAAGCAAAATTTGCATATGGTGCTTTCATTATGAAAATATGAAATGCTTGCGAAATGAAACGTGTGAAAGAATTATGTAATAAATGACTACAACAACTTAAAAGCAGATATCTGATTTAAAAGCTGCGTAATATACCATTGAATCACGAGAAAATGCTAGCATTGTGTTATTATTTGCACAAGATTTAATGGTGCATAGGGTAATACTGGGTGACCATTGGGATTGTGACTAACGTAAATGGTTATTACTTCGCAGTAGGATATAGTAGATCGAACAAAATGAATAAAACATGTTGTAAAAAAAACTTGTGAAATTATATTACTATAAATATGAAACAAATATATATTTTATTAATTTAAACACACGTTATTAAAAAAGAGATAAAAATGTATTTGCACGCATGAACTAACGAAGTATGTTTTGAAAATGTTGTCCAACAGTATCGGCACAGAATTGCAACCGTTTCCGAAAATCTTCAAATATATTATCCAACATGACTGTAGAAAGCTATGTTACGAATACATTTCCCAAAAACTATCTATCAACTTTTCGGTGTCTTGAGACTGTAGAATATAACATTTTTCTTTGAGATATTTCCAGAGAAAAAAATCACATGTTCAAATCGGGTGAATAAAGAAGCTGTTCCAGATTTTCATGAATAAATTTCGGATATCGTAACACAATCACCCTACTGCCATAGACATTATATATCGATTCAAATATATCGCAAGTATGGTGTGGAATTGCGTTGTCTTGCATAAAATGAAATTTTTTATTAATCATCATTTCTGCATGCAGTTTGATGATATTTCTCACTATCTTTTGGAGAATTCCTCACTTCAAATCCATGACCTAAGTAGCTTTTCGAATTATGGAATTTGGATTTTCTTCGAAATATGCTTTGACGTCATCAATTGTTTCGCCCGTTGTAATGCTATGAAATGGGCCAGGTAAATATTGTCTACAATCTTTCAAAGTACCATATAGGGTAAAATTATCAATAATTCTGCGAAAAAATATCGTTAAATGAATATAATCAATAAATATGAATATACTATAATCTCAGATTGCTTACATAATATGTAGGTCAGATTAATGTATAGGTTAGATTATGTTATGGAACGATTCCAGGAAGAAAGCGTACTTTCCGAGTATAATTTTGCTTGAAACTTTCTTAGACCAATATTTAGTACGGAATCTACGATTCGTTTCAATATAATTTTTGCCTTTACTGCAGAAGAATTCGATAAGAAGTACTTTTAAGGCGTTTATTCTGATATTGATAAACCAACTTATATAACGGCTCAAATGAAATTGATAGGACTTAAGTACCGGAAACTAATGAGTTAAATGACGATCGAAATCAAAGAGGGGAAATAAACCGTTTACTTTAGACACAATCCCAATGGTCACCCTGTATATATTCTATCAATTTGCACAGAATATACACACGAATTATTTTACGAAACATAGATGTTTCATACAAAATTCGCAGACGTAATAGACATAGCGTTTGCGTACAAGAATTGTTATCTTGTATTTTCCTAAAATCGCGCTCACAGTGGTCTAAGATACAAATGCATCAAATTCCGATTAAGCTAAGCCACGATTAATTTACAGGGTCACTACTGAAACTTCTGCTAAACTTCAAAAAAATTGTGAAAAATAAAGAGTTAGACATTTTAGTTGTTACTTTTTAAGCCAAAATTCATTTTTTGAAGTTAAATTAATTTAAATGCAGTTTTATGATATCCTTAATTAAAATAATCACAAGAATTATAATAATTATTATCATTTATTATTTTTTATCATTCATCGATAAATGTGATGCTGAAAATATCATTCAAATAATCGTTCAAAGAAATCGTGAAAGATAATCTTTAGTTACAATCTTGACACATCTTGTCACAATGTCACAAAATCGTGCTACACATTTTATTAGTTTAAATTATAGTTTAGTGATTGTAAAGCATTATATATATACAGGGTGTCTGGTATGTTTCGTACATCCGCTCGTGTGCAAATAGAAGAGGTTAAACTGATAGAAAAGGTAGATACCATAATGCAAAATTCGCAATAGTTAATAAATAATTAATTATTCTGTCTGAGCTAATAAGCGCATGAAAAGCGATAGACCGAACATATAGAAAGAAAGATGTTTTTTTACGACGTGCGATTATGGCACTTGCGAATCGCGACTCGTCGCATTCCTCCGTAGAATGCATATTTCTCCGCTGTGTCTCGTAGTTTTGAGCGGAGGAATGCAACGAGCTGCGATTCGCAAGTGTCATTATTGCGTGCACGGTCCATGGATCTAAGAATCCAGGAATGGAGTATAAAATGAACTTTTAGGCAATGGGGTTGGCTAATTTGCGGTAAAGGAAATGAGAGCGCTCTCCTTTTTTATTCGCTGATCGTCTCTTTCTACAATAACACACCGTCGGTTTTATAACGAATATAACAGAAGATGGCCAAAGTTTGCGTGGTATACAGTCTAGTGTAACAATTTCTCGAAGACGTTAATAAGGATCGTATTTTGAGTTTTCGATCATCGAATGTTGCTTTATTTAGTTTTATGTTTATTTCGAAAAGTTCTGTGTCAACTTTTACGTATAGGAACGCCGTTTTGTATAATTTCGGTCTGCACGAATCTATTTTAATACGGAAGTTAGAGAAATTAAAATATATCTATACTTTCGGGAATTATTGCATATGCGACGGAAACACCCGACAGTGTCCTATTCTAGGAAGAGACAGCAATACACCACCCATACTGCGAATTTGCTACCGGATCTGCCTTACATTCGTCATTAGATTCTTAGGTCCATGGCACGGTGGAAGACGTCTTTCTTTCTATATGTTCGGCCTACCCCTTCTTGTGCGCTCATTAGCTCAGACAGAATAAATTCTTCGTTAACTATTGCGAATTTTGCATAATGGTGTCTATCTTTTCTATCAATTTAACCCTTTCCATTTGCACACGAGCAGATGTACGAAACATACCGGACACCCCATATATATATAAACAAATACTTTGTGTTTTATTGAACAATTTCCGGTATTTCTTTTACAGAATATATATATATATATATATATTTTTTATTTTTTAGTACGACTAACAAAACTAACAGCTGTAAACAAACTGGTTGATAGATGGCACCAAAGCTCTGCGTGACAATCAAATACATTAGTACCAACTTACAGCAAAAAAATTACTTTCTTACCTTTTACGCGGGTTTTTAAATGAACAATTTCCGGTATTTATTTGACAAAATATATAAAAGGTGCTTAAATTAATTCTCGCAGTCTTTTGTTACAAAACTCATGTTTATTTCAAAAGAACGGTACATTATATCTTATTCAAAGTATTGTCTTTCGGAAGCTACAACCCGCGAAATTCAAGTGTTTCCCACTTTTCGGGTAACACATGGATTCCGCGATAGATAAAATCAGGTTCTCTCGAGGCGATTCAGTTATCAAGTCATTTTTTGATATCTTCGAAAGAACTGAAGTGTTGCTTAGAAAAGTCATGCTGCATCGAACGAAACAAATAGTAATCTGAAGGAACAATGTCTGGTGAATAGGGCAAGTGAGGTAAGATATACAAGACTCCAAGATTTCCTTCACTGGTGATGCAATATATGGTCTAGCATTGTCATGGAGAAGAATAATTTTGTCTTGTCTTTTGACGTATTGCGGACGTTTTTCTTTGAATGCTCGATTAAAATTGAATAATGGTTGTCGGTAACGTTCAGCATTGATGGTTATCTCGGTTGCAGCAGCTCATAATACACTACACCGACTTGATCCCACATAATGCACAGCATGATCTTTTTTCCATGAGTATTCTGTTTTGGCGTTGATGTTGATGGTTCGCCGGGACGTACCCATGATTTCTTGCGCTTAAGATTGTCGTAACGAATCCATTTTTTATCAACAATCACAATTCGATGCAAAAAAGACTTCCGTTTTATCTTTGAAGCTGCAATTCATAAATTGTTAAACGGTTCACAATGTCTCTTTCTCTCAATTCATGTGGAGCCAGTTTCCTAGCTTCTTAGCTTAGCTGGATCACTCCCATTGTTTTTAACGTTTGCTAACTGTTCATTAATCGACATTTAGTGTTTCCGACAATTCTTTGAGCGTCTAACATGAATCTTCTTCCAGTAATACCTCCAATTCACTATTTTCAAACTTTTTCGGCTGACCAGGGGACTCTTTGTCATTCACATCAAAATTGTTATATTTGAATCGTCCAAACCGATCTCTGTAAGCTGTTTCAGATAGAGCATGCTTCCCATAAGCCTCCACTAGCAAACTACTCGTATGACTTTCAACAGCAAATTTCTTGAGATGAAAACAGAAAAGTAGTGCTTCCCGCAAATTCTCTTTTTCTGGTAGGAAACCCGACATATTCAATGCAATAAAAAATTGTGTTTTTGCACTACAAACTAATATCACACACTGATTTTCATAGCCTATTGATAGTACTTTCATATACATCAACAATCACTTTCGGCCATGTTGAAATAGCATAACTACTGACCTCTATTAACAACAGCGAGAATTAATTCAAACGCATAATATACAGTGGCAAGCAAAAGTTTCCGGCCAATGACATTTTATACTCTAATTTATCAAAAAAATCTTAATAAAATTTTTATTATTATCAGGTGTGAGCATAAAATATGGGAAATGAAATAATATAATGAAAGAATATTGTTTATGTTCGTGAAAATATTTATTGTTATAATTGTTATCTTTACACGTGCAAAAGTTTCCGGCCACTTTGTACTACGAAAAAATTATTAGTCCAAACATTCTATAATGCATTTTAGTTAGTTTAAATTATATTTTAATGCCAATATTTTGTAGCCATACCCTTTGCAGCAATAACAGCGGCACAACGATGTGACATCGATTCAATTAGTCGATTAATGTAAGCAGGTGGAATTTTATCCCATTCTCCTTCAACGATTTGAATAGAGCGCCTTATTTGAATATGTATGCTTTCGAATTTGACGGTCTAGATGTTCCCACAAGTGTTATATCGAGTTCAAGTTCGGTGATTGGAATGGCCAGCTTAAAACTCTCACATTTGTAGCAGAAAACCACTTCTTTAACAACTTTGATGTATTTTTGGGGTCATTATTCTGCTGAAATATCTAATCCTATGGCATTGCTTCTTCAGCATATGTTAACAAATGTTTTTCTAAAACGTCCTTATAAACAGCAGCGTTCATAGTTCCGTTGATCTCAACAAGTGGACCGATTCCTTGTGCAGAGAAAACTTCCCAAACCGTCACGCTTCCTCCACCGTGCTTTACAGTAGGAATTTGGTACCGAACGTCATTTCTGATACCAATAGGACGTCGTACATGTTGTCTATCATCGCTTCCAAAAATATTTAATTTAGTTTCGTCTGAGAAAGCTATTTTTTCCAATCTTCGACTGTCCAATTTTTGTCATCTTTGACAAACTGTAATCGGGACAAACTGTAACCTTCTTATTCTTTTTACTGATTAATGGTTTTTTAATACCTATACGGTCAAAAAGTCTTATATCATGTAGCCTTCGTGTCACAGTACTACGGCTAACATCGGCAAGGTTTTCATCCCGTAGCTCGCGTTTTCCCGTGGCTCGCAATTTCTTGACATCCTCAATTGATTTGTGTTTAATGACACGATTTACCTTTTTAGATGTTTTTCGTGGCCTTCCACTACGGGGGCAATCTTTTAAACCTATCCAGCACGATACTTAGCAATAATATCATTTACGGTGGATTTACCTATCGAGAGTAGTGAGTAGTGGATGTCGATGGTTCGCCTGGATTCACCCATGATTTCTGACGTTTAGGATTTTCAAAATATATCCATTTTTCATCACCTGTCATGATACGATGGACTTTCTTTTGTATCTGTCAAGCAGCATTTCACAAGTGGTTTTTCGATTTTCTTGCTGTCTTTCATTCAGTTCATGCGGAACCCATTTTCCCACTTTCTGAATCTTTCCCATGGCTTTCAAACAAATTGAGACAGCTTTCTGCGTCACATTCGATTCATCCGCGAGTTCTTGTTGAGTTTGAGTATCATCTTCATCCAATAAGGCTTGCAATTCGTTGTCTGCGAACTTTTTCGGTGGTTTCCCACGCTCTTCGTTTCTCACGTCAAAATAATCACTTTTGAATTTTTTGAACCACTCGGAACACTGTGTTTTATCAAGAGCATGTTCATCGTAAGCTTCGACAAGCATTCGATGCGATTCTGCAGCAGTTTTCTTCAAATGATAACAAAAAACCAATGCTGTCCGCAAATCGTAGTTCGTAGGCACAAAACTCGACATGTTTAAGGTTATAGAAAAATATACCGGTGTATGGAACTTGGGTTGTTGTGTGTTGAAAATCTTCGTCAGCTGTTAGAGGGAGATGATGGCGCTGCAGAAGCGGTCTTACGGTCCCTAAACTGATGGCTAGCACCATCTATAGGGAAATTCCGGTTTCATACTTCTACACCTGGTATACACTAGTTGATATATATGTGTATATATATATGTATATAGTTAAGATCCATTAGGACCTGGGCTCAAAATTTGGACTACAAAAACCAAGTAGCTATTTTAAATTTCAATACCAGCTTTTTATGGCTGATTCGTGTTCCTGGCAATTTTTCCTTTCCAAATATTTTACTTAAGTTGGATTAGGCCTCAAATTTGAACTTCACTTGTTTCAGGTCCTCCAAAGGCAGGACGCGGTCAAATAACTCGTCAGGGATTGCATTTATGCAACAAAATGTTGAGGGGGAAATATTTTTAATTCTAAAAAGTCTATGTGATTGATGAGGTATATTTGGGTACAGGCCCATTTTTTTCCACTATCATTACGCTGTAAAATTAGATTATTCTCAATAGTTGGGCTTTGCGTAGTCTAATTGGAGGTCTGGCCCAACTTAAGTTACACATTTGGAAAGAAAAAATTGTCAGGAACACGAATCAGCCATAAAAAGTGATATTGCCAATTAAAAAAATCTATTTTGTTTTCATAGGATCCAAGTTTTTGGCTCTTAACTATCAGATAGGTTTTTTTGAAATCCAATAACTTCTTCTGTAACATTTTTTTTCTAAAATATATCTCTGAGGAATTATTTAACCATTTCCATATTTTTGAAGAACTCTGTACACACACACACACACACACGCACGTGTAACATTAATATACATTAAAAGTCATACTTCAGAATAAAATTTTGTTTTTTTAATGTAATAATAACTAGATTTATAGATGAAATAAACGTAATCTTGCAATGGAAAAGTATTTTCTTACTAGTAGTTCAGGAAAAGTTTGAAGAATTTAAAAATTTCAAATAAATTCAAGTTTTATAATAATCATCAACAATTACACTACTAAAATCTGTTATAATCATTTTGCGTCCTTTGAAAATAATTTAACTTTTTCATATCCGTATAGTGTGTCGTATACGTTGGACTCTGTAACTCTGTATGAGATTTGGAAAGAAATATAAAATAAAAATACCTGACTAAGTAATGTAAAATCTTTTATATTCAAGAATATCGTTAAAGAAGAAATGAGACATCGTTTAAGAAAAACTATTCATAAGAGATTCGAGTTATTTCGTATTTATTTAAAACCAAAACGAGATGAATATTAAATTACCTGCAAATAGTTAGCAAATAATAAGTTATTTTACTTTTTTAAAGATTTTTTTATATATAAAAATCAGTTTTATCAAAAGTCAGATTCAGAGTTTTGGCTAAAAACATTTTCTTTTAAGCCACTGCGTGCCAGGAAGAAGCTCGCGAGTAATAAAGGTAGCATTGCGATTTTGCGTGCGCGTTCTCGCACGGCATTGATCAAAGTTGCTTTTACGAAACAGTCCGGCGGGCTGTTGCAACAAATCGACACGATGAATTACGCAAATGATTTTCTACTTACCGGGTGTGAACTTGACACCAAACCAGACCGACATAGGCATGCAACCGTGATGGATCACATGCAGGGTGGACACGTGATTGTTCTTCTTTCGAAGCACGAAGAAAATCTGTAATAACATAACGAATTAGCATATCGGGGATGCATAAGCGGGTGATCGACACCCGGGTGGCTAGGCTGTTAGTACATACCGTGTCCATGAATTCGGTAAATTTTGAGAAGTAGTACCACCAACTAGCGTGGACCATCTGCGATTTCAAAAAATCGGTTAGAATGCGGTTACTTGATCATCTCGACTTACTGCATCCGTCGTGTCTCGTTTATTTTACATGAGGTTAATTTGTCAATGAAACACTCCATTTTAGCTATAAATATGATACTCACTCACGTTTCTTTTACGCTTTTGCGGAAGATCAATATTCTTTCTACGTCCGATTTCCTTATTATATATGGAAAGAATGTTGGTTGAGTTTAACTGACAATGAATAAACCAAACGTGTTTCCTTGAATGAAACAGAATTTTTGGTTCTTACCAACTAAATTCGGTTCTTATAATAAAACATTTTATTTCCTTCCACATTTAAAATGGCTTAGAACGTTCATTGTCTGATAAATTCTACTAAACATTTTTACCGTTTACAAATAAATAAAACTAAATAAAAAAACATTTAGTAGTAAGTACTAGTAGTAAGTAGTAAGTTAAAAGTATTTTTAATTAATTAATTAATTTTAATTAATAATTATTATTTGAAATTTAATTAAATTTATAATCATAATTATAATTTAACTAATTAATTAAATATTATTTATAGGTCGGCACATTTGTAGTCCGAGTTTACATTAAAGATCATTTAAGATCATCGTAAGTACTTAAAATCTTAAGATATTAAGGAGTTATTTTATGGCTAAATAATATCTTGAGTCTCAATACTCAAAACTAAATAATGTCATGACAAAATTAAATATAATATCGGATTATAAATACCATAATCTTTGATTGAGTGATGCGAATGTGTTAAAAACATGATCATCGTGAGGAAATCATCATACAGTGAATTTCTTATATATATACACAAAAATGAATTTGCGTTTTGGTGTTAACATGTACACATATTTGTCTTTTTAACACGTTCCATGCTACGTGAGTTACTTGCTAAATTTTTTGCTCAAGCTGCTTAAGGGGTTATTACCAGCTTAATTTTTTTTGGCCATTTTTTTTTATTGGCTTAATTTATGCTAAAACATCCTTAGAATTGAAATCTACAACGCCCAGGCACTAATCTAAATTTAAAAAATGTTTTAAATCAAATTTTCCTGAAGCGCTTGGTACTCTTGCCACATATCAGTATAAGGATCCGATGCATAAAGATGTGTTTGGTGCAATCAAACCAATCTACGAAGATCTCAGCTCCGACGACCTTCTTTCCCGCTGCTTGGGTGGATATACCCAAAACAGTAATGAGTCGTTTAACGCAGTCGTTTGGTCGATTGCTCCAAAAACGGTGTCCAGCAATAAACCGATTCTTGGCATTGCGACTGACATAGCTGTCATTACATTTAATAATGTCTTGTCAAGTCTGTTTGCCGTCTACGATGCCCTTGGATTTACTGTTGGGCCAAGGATGTATGAATTCTGCTTGAAAACAGACTCCAACCGGATCCAAGCTGCTGAGCACAGTATGTCCGATTTTGCAAAAGAGGCCAGATGCAGTAATACATCGGCAAAAAAGGATGAAGAAGAACACAATAAGGCTCTTGAAGGACAATTGTACGGTGCAGGGATAGCAGACTGAAGGTAAAATATTTTTTTATGGACCATTTTTAAGATTTATCAACTTTAAATGCGTTTTTAAACTTTAAACGCGTTTTTCTCGAAATCATATTTTCAAAATCGGCCGGCAGTAGAACTCAAAAAGTTTTCATCCGATTGACTTCAAAATTTAACTGTAGCTTCTTCGTTAGATTATCTAGTGAAGTACACACGATTTTAGTGATTGCTTCACTAGAAAAAAAGTTATAACCCCTTAAAGTCGATTTTTTCGTCGAAAAATGAATTTTTTGTTTAAACTTCTGCCATTTCGCGAAAAAAATTTAAAAAATATAATTATGTGTACTTCATTAGATAAACTCATGTAGATTATGAAAAAAATTTTTTTTTTGTTCTAGGTTGAACTGGAAGAGACTTCCACTGCCGGCCGCGGAAGGCCTTTTTAAAAAGTGATCTGAAGGTTATTACTATACAGCCGCCATTTTGTAAATAAATTGCAATAAAAAAATTTTTTTTTGTATTTCAAAACATGAGTAATCAATAGGATTTTTTTTGTAAACCATTCATTTTAAATACCTTCTCAAAAAAAATCATAAAAAAAGCCTTTTTTGGGGGGCATAAGCTGGTAATAACCGCTTAATATTTAGGCTCTAAAACGAAATATTCAGGATATATTCCGAAAAATATTATATGACATACTATGATATTTAATAAATTTACGGCCGCCGACGTAATATTACGTCTTCCAAAAAATTGTAACCAGATGCTGCTGGAATACTATTATGTTCCTTTATAATTTTCTTAGTTTTATGACTTTTGGAGCTAAATGCTACTGAATTATTATTATATCTTCTTATATAGTAGGTGTACAAATGAATAATCCAACCTTTTCAGCTAAATTCGAGATTTATTTTAAAAGAAAGTAAAACAAATTTTCCAACCAAAGTATTCGCCGTTGCTTTCTATAACTGTAAGCCATCTTTTAGGCAGTTGATGAATTCCATCTCGGAAAAATGCTGTGTCTTTGGACACGATAAAGTCATCAAGCCATTTTCGAATCTCATCCACTGATTGGAAGTGAGTATCGGACAAGGCATGTTGCATCGACCAGAACAAGTAATAATCTGATGGAGCAATGTTTGGTGAATACGTCGGGTGCTGCGAGACGTCCCAACCAAGACTCATTATGGTGTCTTCTGCCTTGGAAGCAATGTGTGGCCTGGCATTGTCATGCAATAATTTCAGAACGTACTCCTTTGCAAGTATACGGACGTTTCTGTTTCAATTCTTGACTCGAGCAGGTTAATTGGCATTGGTAGCAGCTCGTAGAAACTGTTTTACCCGGTTTCAACAACTCATAGTAGAAAGCGCCCTTGATATCCCACTAAATGCAGAGCAGAACCTTTTTTCTTAAGCGATTGGACTTTGCAACCGATGTTAATGATACGCCGGGATGTACCCATGACTCTCTGCGTTTCTCATTGCCTATAATGATTTTTTACTAGAAAGATATTCGATATTGCTTATTGAGAAGAGAAAGACACGCTGCCACTCGTTGAGTTTTGTAGGCTTCACTAAGTTCATGCGGAACTCATTTTCCTTCTTTTTGGATCTTACCCATCTCAAGTACGCGTTTGGAAACGGTTTGCTGCGTTATTCCCAACTGCTCTCCTTTTGCGATTGTGCCAAATTCTCAGCGAGCAGTTGTTTCAAATCATCGCTGTCGCATTTTGGAGGGCCTCCAGGACATTGTTTATCGATCAGACTGAAATCACCGCTATTAAACTGTTTGAACCAAAATGCACACACATTGTACGTTATAATATTTTTGCCGAAAAAGGAACAAATCGATTCGCATACTCTTGCAATATTCTTTCCTTGTTGGAATTCATAAGGAATACAGTGTCAGAAATGCATTTTATCTCTTGCCATGTTTGATTCTATCAGACTGAATACTATTGTAGGTTATGTTGAGTCTTTCATCATACTAAATGCCATTTTTAATAGCTATATGTCAACACAATATAACTGCAAATGAACAGGAAAATTAATTGATTTTAAAATTAATTTCTTAACTGCTTAAAACATTTAGATTATTCATTTGTACACCTAATACTTTAACGAAATAATCTATAGAGAAGTTAAAACTCATTTCAACTTGAAAATTGAACAAAATTATGTAAATGCAAGTCTTAGTTGTGGTAAGATTTTATGTAAATATACAGAGTGTCTTAGGTTTTTCCAAGTTATAGCAAAAATATGAAATGTGAAATAAGGAATAACATTTCATCTAAGATTGCATTTCAAAATGCCGTTCGCCATTGTCAATATAAGCTTGACATCGATTTAATATTATATTCCTTATCTTATAAATTCCATCGTTTTTGCTTATTTATTTATTTATTTATTTATAAACGGGAAATATAAGTACGATATAAAAGTATTAAGAATATACTAAATACAAGAAAAATGTATGGAAAAGTAATATATACAATGGAGATAAATATAAGAAATAAGTAGAATACATAAATAGAATAATAAGAAACAGAATAAATTGCAAAAAATAAAATTAATGAACTAGAAGAAGTTCTAATATATTTGTTCATCCAAAAAAATTATCATGTCTTAAAAGAGTCGAAATTAAAAGGCACTTAAATGATAAAGGACTGCTACTGAAAAAGTCCAGCCTACCGAACTTTGCTTAATCTCTGCAATTGCATCGGTAATTCTTTATATTTGTATTAGCTCATCTCTTAATGTGTCTTATATTAGATAAACTTTGTTTTTCATTATCCCACAGATAGAAGTCTAACGACATAAGATCTAGTAATCTCTGAGGTCAGAATATCAATCCCGCTCGACTAATCTATCTTTCGGAAAAATGTTTGTTTAACCGCTTTCTTACTTGTTTTCCGTAATATGATAAATATCCATCTAACTATATCCATATATATATAATTATATCCGTTGGCAAGGTAATAAAGATAGTAAGAATAATAAAGCCGCATTGTTTCAAATAATAAGTGCTTTTCCCATCGAGAATATTGTAGACTAACGAAGCTACATTAACAAAAAACGGTAAATTCAAGTTTCGTAAAATCATGTATGATTATACAAAAATTCATACGCTGTTCGAGAAATAGTTTTTTTTAATGTTGGTTCAATTGTAATGTATGGATAAGTATGTATAAACTTAGGTGAAATTTTTTTTTGCAGATTTCATATTTTTGCTATACTTTTTTAATGAAGCATTTTAAGACCTCTATTTATATATGTTTCTTTTATTTCTTCTCATAGACCATAATATGAATGTTTTGTACGGAACTCCCTGTATATCATGTAAATATATATAAATACATATCTTTATGCAAAAATCAAAACCTTTATGCAATTAAAAAACAATATTTTTAAGAAAAAAACATTTTTAATATATTAAACATTTTTAAGACATTAAACATATAAACATTATTATGTGTTTAAGAAAATTTATTAAATTTTACAAGTTCTTTTAATGTAATATCTCGCCTTTTTATATTTAAAAATTTGATATTTTTTTCCTGAATTTATAAAAGAAAATTTCTTTCACAGATTTTTTTAAATAATAAATAGTGGCAAACACGGTTTCCTCACACAAAGCAAATTCTTTTAGTTTCATTTTTAACTTATTAATAGAACCTTGCGACATCCGCATACAGATTTACATTTTTATTGGATGTGGTTGATCAATTTAGAAAAGTGAGAAAAATACGAAAAATGAGATAGGTGACTGCAAATATGTTAAAAAATATCATAGGATGACAACGTGGATCGTTGAACATTTCACATATAAATGTTCGCAATTCACACAAAATTTACATAAAATTCACAATAAAGTTCATCCAACATAGAACATGTTAATATATTAACTGTCATGGAGATCGCCAAAGACCGGCGCTACATGATATTGCCGCGTCTCAGTAATTTACGTGTAAAACGTAACTATTAATTACACCGGCACACAAAAAAAAAGTGGTCTGTACTTTTGACCAAACCCACCTATCTACATGTATTTTGGCCCGCTGAAACCGAATCTGGAAGTCGTTTAGCCCGTCTACCTCTTGGTTTTGAGTAAATCGCAAAAAATAGCGAAAAATCGCATTAGTAAGTGCGACAAAATTAGGAAAAAATTTTTTTGACTTTCAACAAGTAAATTTCTTATGTAGTTTGATGTGCTTCACCCAAATTTGAAGTTTACTGAGCTTTATCATCCATATGTAGTATTGCCGAAAATCGCAAAAAATAGCTCAAAAAGTAAAAAAAAACGATTAAAATCGCAACAAATCGCGTTTATGAGCATAAAGCAATTCGGGAAAAAAGTTTCTAACCTTAATGAGGTATATTTATTATGTATTTTGATGCCCTGAACCCGTTTTTCAACTTTGTTGAGCACTGTTACCCACAGGTTTTAGCGAAAATCGCAAAAAACCGCGTTAACGAGCGTAAAAATCGTTGTTTTCTTATGCTTTTTCTCTTGTAATGAACTCTTTTATCTTCGAATGATCTATGTAGCGGGTTTCTTTTCCTCTTCACTCCAGTCTGAATCGTTTCCCTTTTTAACGTCCAACAGAAATCTGCCATTATATTAATATCCCACCTTCCTTGGTACCGCTGCTCCATTTCACTTATGTCTTGATGGAATCGTTCTCCTTGTTCTTCGCTGTAGTCTCCGAGATTTTAAGGAAAGTAGTCAAGATGCGAGTGTAGGAAGGGCAACAGATCCGTCTGGCCAAGTCTCTGGGTTAACGGCATTTTTGCCGTCATGGCAGGCACAAATCAGTGTTTTACGATGCAGGGTGTCGGAAGCCCAGTATCGGCGGCTGATCAGGGTGAGCAAGCAGTCCCGCAGGCGTCGTCATCAAGCGACCGCAGCTCTACATTGGTGGGTGACTTGGCCTCTGTAGAGTATAATGCTACAAGAAGTAACTCACATTTATGTGATAAAAGTCACGATTCATTTTGTTTTATTTGTGGTGAATTTGAAACTTCTAAAAACCGAAGATCTTTATCTCCTAAAGTGAAATCTCTTTACACTCTGTGTTTTGGTTTAGAAATTACTGACCAGAATCATAACTGGATGCCACGTACAATTTGTGGTTTGTGTTATACGATGCTAATGCGATGGGAAAAGAGTAAAAAACCAGAGCAGCTGAGATTTACGAAGCCAATGATATGGTCTGCACCTTCATATCCAGAAGACTGCTATTTTTGTATGACAGACATCCAAGGTTTTAGATCGAATAGAAAAGCTAACATTTTCTATGCAAACGTTTCTTCAGTCGTAAGACCAGAAATAGTAAAAGTTGTGGAAGAAACAATGGACGAAAGAGTTGAACCTATGAATGTGGATCCTAGCGAGGCGGAAGAAATGGTAGTGGATGAATTTTCCGAAGAAGACGTAAGTGATGACGAGGACGAGGAGTATCTACCAGCAAGTGAGAGAAATACTCCTCAAACATTCAACCAAGAAGAGTTGAATGATCTTATACGAAATTTGGGACTACTCAAGGATGGAGCTAAATATTTAGCAGCAGCATTAAAGAATAAAAATTTGTTGGC